GGTGAGTTTGGGGTGAGAAACGGGAGATTTGGGGTACAGGAACGGGGAGGTCAGCAAGAACGAGGTGCTGGAGATCATCACGGTGAGGAGAACACGGGTTTGGGGTCAGAAATGTGAGATTTGGGGTTTGGGATACAGGAACGGAGAGGTCAGCAAGAACGAGGTGCTGGAGATCATCACGGTGAGATTGGGGTCAGAAACGAGAGATTTGGGGTCAGAAATGGCAGATTTGGGGTTTGGGATGCAGGAACGGCGAGGTCAGCAAGAACGAGGTGCTGGAGATCATCACGGTGAGATTTGGGGTGAGAAATGGGAGATTTGGGGTTTGGAAATGTGAGATTTGGGGTTGGGGATGCAGGAACCCAAGGTCAGCAATGGAGGGGTGCTGGAGAACATCCAGGATTTGGGGTTTGGGGTCAGAAATGGGAGATTTGGGGTACAGGAACGGCAAGGTCAGCAAGAACGAGGTGCTGGAGATCATCACGGTGAGATTTGGGGTCAGAAATGTGAGATTTGGGGTTGGGGATGGCGGGAACGGCTCGGCCTGAGAGGAAATTCAAGGTTTGGATTTGGGGTTTGGGACGGGATTGAGTCATCCCAGGGGAAATTCAGGATTTTGGGTTTGGAATTTGGGATTTTGGGGATGTTTTCCGGGCTGGGGATGGGATTGGCTCATCCTGAGAGGAAATTCAGGATTTGGGGTTTGGGGACATTTTGGGGATATTTTGGGGACATTTTGGGTATATTTTCAGGATATTTTGGGGATATTTTGGCAGATATTTTGGGGATATTTTGGGGACATTTTGGGGATATTTTAGTGGATATTTTGGGGATATTATGGGGACATTTTAGGGATATTTTGGTGGATATGTTAGTGGATATTTTGGGGATATTTTGGGTTTATTTTGGGGATATTTTGAGGATATTTTGGGGATATTTTAGTGGATATTTTGGGGACATTTTAGGGATATTTTGGCAGATATTTTGGGGGTATTATGGGGACATTTAAAGGATATTTTGATGGATATTTTGGGGACATTTTGGGTTTATTTTGGGGATATTTTGAGGATATTTTGGGGATATTTTGGGGACATTTTAGGGATATTTTGGCAGATATTTTAGTGGATATTTTGGGGACATTTTGGGGATATTTTGGGATCGCCTCATCCCAGAGGAATTCTGAATTCCCATTGGNTATAGAATAATATGGTATAAATGTAACATAATAAAGTATAGAATAATCTAGTGTAGTAGAGTATATAATACGGAATTATGTAGCATATAGAATAATACGGTATAATAAAGTCATATAGTATAATAAATAGTATAATAGTATAAATAATACAGTGTAATGAATTATATAAATTTATATAAATAAATAAACCATAATAAATTATAATAATGACAACAATGATAATAATAGTAATAATAATAATAACTGGGCAGCGAGTGCTTGGAAGATTCAGTTTGGGGGCAATGCAATATAATGTAACATACTATAGAATAATAACACTACAGTATAATATATAAAATAGACATTATAAATATGAAATGTATTTTATATGTGTCATTTATATTAATGTATTTATATACATATATGTACTTATGTATAGATACGTATAAAAAGCAATAATGATAATTGTAATGATAATGGTAATTGTGATGATGATAATATATAATTGCAATAGCAATAGCAATAGCAATAGTAGTAACAATAACAATTTAAAAATTTTATTATTAATAATAACAAAATAATAATAATAATAGTAATAGTAGTGGTAATAGTAATAGTGGTAGTAATAATAATAAATAACAATAATACTGACAATACTAACAATACTAACAATACTAACAATACGAATACTAATACTAATACTAATACTAATATCAATACTAATAATAAATAAATAATAATAGTAATAATAATAGTAATAGTAATCATATGATAATAATGATAATAATAATAATATAATAGTAATAATATTAGTAATAATGATAAAATAAAAAAATAATAATAAAAAAATAATAATAATATAAAAATAATAAAAATAATAATAAAATAATAATAATAGTAATAATAATAATGATAAAATAATAATAATAATAGTAATAAAAAAATAATAATAAAAATAATAATAATAATGATAATAACAACAACCAAATCAATAATAATAAAATTAATAATATTTTTTCCCGGTGGCGCAGGTACGAGAGCTTCCAGCGGCAGTGCCCCGACGGGCGCATCAGCCGCGGCTTCGACACCAACGACGACGGCACGCTGGACTTCCGGGAGTACATCATCGCGCTGCACCTCACCTCGTCCGGCAAGACCCACCTCAAGCTCGAGTGGGCGTTCTCGCTGTTCGACGTGGACCGGAACGGGGAGGTCAGCAAGAACGAGGTGCTGGAGATCATCACGGTGAGATTTGGGGTGAGAAACGGGAGATTTGGGGTTTGGGATACAGGAACCCGAGGTCAGCAAGAACGAGGTGCTGGAGATCATCACGGTGAGTTTGGGGTGAGAAATGGGAGATTTGGGGTACAGGAACAGCGAGGTCAGCAAGAACGAGGTGCTGGAGATCATCACGGTGAGGAGAACATCCAGGATTTGGGGTCAGAAATGTGAGATTTGGGGTTTGGGGTACAGGAACAGCGAGGTCAGCAAGAACGAGGTGCTGGAGATCATCACGGTGAGATTGGGGTCAGAAACGGGAGATTTGGGGTTTGGGAATGGCGTTCTTGCTGTTCAACGTGGACAGGAATGGGGAGGTCAGCAAGAACGAGGTGCTGGAGATCATCACGGTGAGTTTGGGGTCAGAAACGGGAGATTTGGGGTACAGGAATGGCGAGGTCAGCAAGAACGAGGTGCTGGAGATCATCACGGTGAGGAGAACATCCACAATGTGGGGTTTGGGGTGAGAAACGGGAGATTTGGGGTTTGGAAATATGAGATTTGGGTTTGGGGTTTGGGATACAGGAACGGCGAGGTCAGCAAGAACGAGGTGCTGGAGATCATCACGGTGAGTTTGGGGTGAGAAACGGGAGATTTGGGGTACAGGAACGGCGA